GGGGTGTTGGGTCACAGTTTTGAGCGGGCCTGGATGAACTCAGGTGAACTGGGTTTGCAATAAACCCATCACGAGAGAACCTTGGATATAACATTTGTAGGCACTCAAAGCCCAGGGCTGAAACACACAAGAGATTTTGAGCAGCTCACTCATGCTACTAAAAACATTGTTGATATGCTATGAACAGGGATCAATCACTACAAGGATGCCACAAATGGCTCTCTATGGTGAAAGCTACACAGGAGGCATGCAGTAGTGATGGAACGCACGTGGCTGCACTGTGCTCCAAATATGCGTGATTATTTACTACTGTATGCTACAAATGCTGCATAGGTAAGGGCTACACTGGCAATTCAATTTTTCTTCTACTAAGAGATTTAACCAGTTGTTGAAAGTCATCCTAATTACTGCACACTGACATCATTGTGATTCTACTGAGATACCTGTCAACAAGCAGTTAAATCCCTCAGTAGCAAAGCACTTTAAATGCCTGTCCATAGGGAGTCATTTGGTCCATCTGTGTAGTAATCAATCACTATTTAAACACTGTTGAATTAAATAGTGTGACTGAACTAACTTTGACACTGATTCTTCTCAGTCTAGAGAACAAATTCATTTCAGCACCAAAATAATGACATTCAATTCCCTTGAACGTCTGTTTTATTGCTGGCTCTATCCTCTTATTTCCTGAGTGGCCACTGGGATAGGAAATCAGTGAAAATGTTCTCTACAGCTATAAAAAACAAACAAAAGTTGTGCTAATCCTTCCCCATTCTAATCAAAATTGTTTAGGCTGGAATCTAAGGCTGGGCACACACCTTACAACCATTGCAAGACTTTTGTCTTGCGATGGCTGTAAGGTAATTTAAAAAACGTACGATCTACCTATCTTGGGGTGCCTACACACCTTACGATAATCGTATGATAATCGCAGGAAATCCCGCGATCGTACGATTATCGTAAGGTGTGTGGAAGCCGTGCGACCTCTACTACTGTAAGGTCGCACGACTTTTAACTTACGAACATGTTCGAAAACCCGCCGAGCATTGTACAATGTTTGGCGGGTGTGTAGCATAAGATAAGATAAAAGCCAGACGGGCCGGTGTGCACAAGCGTACACTGCCCATTCGGCATTGCGGTCATCGGAAGGGGGGCGCGGGTGCGGCTTGCGATCATCGCAAGTACGATCTGCCTGTCCAAGATAGGCAGATTGTACGTTTTTTTAATTACCTTACAACCATCGCAAGACAAAACAGAACAGATTTTACTCTTGTGACATCTCTTTCCCTTTAATTGAGTTGTATCGACCCATGTTAAGTCTATAGGGAGTCAGTTTGCATCTTATTACCTTCAATTTGTCACAATCAGGTCTGTAAAAAAAATACGTTTTTTCTCTAAGACCTAGAAGGAGTCGGGGGTAAGCGGGCATGTGTCTGTTTACATCCGGCCATCAATAGAGTTACATTGGGCTTTTGATCAGATCTGCCTGAAAAACTGAGACAGCTCTGATCACACAACTGTGTGAAGGAAGCCTCAGGCTAAGTTTAGTTAGTGGAATCTTGGTGTTGTTTGTCTTTGTCCTCTAAACTCCTATTTTTTGTGCAGGAGCTACCTGAAATAAAGACCGGTCACTGCTGCTCTCTCTCCTTGTGCAAGGTGACTGGTCTTGTATCGGCCCACTCTTGTAGGAAGCCTGTAGAGGGTGGGGCCTGTTGGGCCTCTCCCACAGCTCTGCTCTTTGCACAATCTATGTACAGCACATTGATGATGTCACTGTTACCTTTACAAAGTATTTGAAATCCATGGCTCCCGAAGCAGACACAAATGGGCTGATTTCGTAAAGGAATTGTGAATCTTGACACAATAAATTGTGTGAAAATTCCCTTCAATTATTCAATCACATGCAAATGGAAAAGTAAACAGAAATTTGCTTTTCAAATTATTGGAATATCGAATGTTCACACAATTTAATGTGTGAAGTTTCTCAACACTTTTAGTAAACCAGCCCTAAAATATCCTGCAGGGAATTTTCATCATTGGTGTCCTCAAAAGATGTGCAAAGGTATGAAGTGATGTGACCCACTGTGACCAAAAAACACTTTTGGATGGACTTTGTCTTTAATCAAATGTATCATATTAGCTGCAGTAATCGAAGCAGAACTAGCTCCCTACATCCGTTGTTGATATCACTAAATGAAATTATGCTAAATGAAGCATAATTGCTATCTGCAGTTAGTTCATTAAGATAACGGTGTCATTGCAAGAAACACCTTCTGTTTAATATGTTACTATGGGGATGAATTAATAGTTGAATAAAGTTCTTCCTAAACAGAGATAGTAGTAGACATAGTTGCAGGTTAAAAAATACAAATACATTTAGTATGAAATACTAACCTAATAAAATGTTTATCTGTGTCATAAAAGCAATGGCTTGTGCCAAACA